GGCGGCGGGGGCGGCGAGCTTACGGCCGACGACAAAGATTGTGTTTCTTTCCGCCGCCTGCTCGCCACGCCGCCGAGAGAGTCCCCTAAACGTAAAGTCAACATTCGGGGACGACGAGACTGATGATGTAAAGAAACGTGAGGCGAAAATTAACAAGGACGGCGAGGGTGGAATCCTAACTTAATCACCGCTATTGAAATTTATTATTCCTGCAGGGGGGCGACGGAAAGTGACTCCTCTCCCCCCGCCCCCTCCTCCTCCCCCAGGAGAAGAGGGAGAATAAACAGCCGAGGAATTAGGGAGCGGAGAGCTGCTGTATGGAGGCGTCACGGCCGGCAACCTGGGCGGAGGGCAGACGAGAGGAGAGCGAGGGGGCGGAGAGGACCACGCCTACGCCTCCGAGACCATTATCGAGGTTGACGAGAGTAGTGACCCGGCGCCTGACGGGAAGAAATCAGCCAAAAACCAGGCTGTTTTCTGACAGGCAGCCATTTTCAAACATTCCGCGGATCTGCTTGCTCCGAGAAGTGCGAATTCCGCAAGAAGTATTTGGGCAAGTGGCCTATACGATGAGACCCGTGGCCGAGCCAGCCGGTGTGTGGCGCACCGCCCCGCGCCAATCGAGAGGATGCCATGGAGGAGGGGAGGGAACGCCAAGACCATCGTCCATCGAGACCGATCGAGGCGGGACGGAAATAAAACAGTGGACTGACAACCGGAGACGTATGCGAAAAATGAAGCAAACACTATGACACATTATAATAGCGCGTTTCTGTCCACGTTTGCGTTGCGCCTTTTTTTTCGGACCGTGGACTGCAAGCGGTTTGACTCAGATATTTCAAATGAAACGAAAGAATTGACGATACAGGCATGATGTTGCAGTTTCGTCAACTCACTTCCGTTGTCAAGATGCAGCAGAATGCCCTGTTACCGAACCCAAAGAGGCTGCTCCTGTACGGAAGAGAAAGGGGTTTGGAGGGCGGGAACTGAATTCTTCTGTCGCGGCGCCCCGTCAAGCACCGAGTGTTCCACTTGGTTCCACTGCCAGCGACTGCCAGACTCGTCACTTTGCCCCCCTCACAACCACTGCCAGGCGGACTTCAGGTCGTCAGGTCGGTCCGCTTTTGCTCCGCCAAGCTGCCCGAACGCTCAGAGTGCTGTCACCGAAAGCCTTATTCTCACTGGCAGACCGGATCTATGGACCCGGTGGACACGAACACACACATCTCCCCACCCCCTACTCTCTCACAGGCGTGTATCCTCTGCCGGGTTCGATCTCCTTGTATATTCCGCTTGGAGAAACACAAGGACGCGTCGCGATGCTTTGGGACGACGCGTTCTGTATGCAACTCGTGGGGCAGAGCGGGGCAGAGCGTGGCAGAGCGGGGCAGAGAGAGCGTGGTGGGGCTGGGCGGGAGCGGCGGGGCGGATCGTGGTACAGGGTGGACGAGGACGAGGCTGGCACGGCGACACCCGCTTGTGTCCGCATGCACTTTGGCAGGGCTGCGGGCGCGGTGCATCAGGAATGCATTTGGCGTGGAGGAGCTGGGGGGGCTTCACTCCACGCCGAGGCTACGCTCAAGGAGAAAGATACACGCGCTCGTAAAGGAGCGAAAAGCGTCCCGCCCCATGTAATTTCTCATGTTTTGGTCACATCATGGTCACATCCCAACCTCGACGACCGTGCCCGACTTCAATCCTTGTTAAATCCAAAACGATCTCTTCGCGGTGTTTACATTTATTCATCAGCAGAGCAAATCTCGGGTTAGGGGTACGCTCCCCTTGCAATCCGCCGACACCGCCATATTGCTGCGACCAACCGAACCCAAACCGGACCCACAAAGTAGGGGCCGTGTCTGTGACCCGCGCTGCGTGGTTAAAGCTGCCGGACGGTGCACCACGCCGCACCAAAGCTGATGGAAACACCGACACACCGCCACACGGACAGCACACGCACGCGCCCCGCCAACGGCCAACGGCCAACGGCCTGCCCTAACGCCGTAATGAGATCGGTTCGCATCGAAGAGTGCGGAGAATAGGGGGGCGTAGGGGGGTAGGGCCCTCTCCCGATATAGATTGGAGGCTACGGGGTCAAAAAGTCCATGCGCGCGTATGTGTGTGTGTGTGTGTTCGGTCCGGTGCCGTCCGGTAGCACCGCCGCGGCGACGCACACACCAGCTCAGCTTCCCGCGCATTATAGATTCATAACCCAATCTGTGTGGGCGCATGTAGGCGAGCGACGAGGGGGTAGGGGGGGTGTAAAAAGGGGGTGGGACAGATCGGCCACCAACGCGGCGCTTTCATGGCCCATCTCCTCTAATGTAATCAAAGTCGAAAAATCATCGACCTATTTTTCTCTCTTTTTTTGTATTGTTGTTTTTGAACCATTGTCTTTGTTGCTACAGGTCGAACTCATTGCTCAACACAATAATTTACCAATGCTTAAGTTGAACTCTGGTAGGTTTTTTCCCATGTATGTTAACCCATTTATCCTTACAGGATTTCTGTGCCTCGGGGATGGCGGCGCGCGCGG